TAGTAAGACATGATCATAGACTATGGACTAAAGATCACTGGAAAGGAAGCTTCAATGTAATAACAACTTCATATAATAAAGATATGTCAGTATCGAACTACTCTACAGTATCTATAAGCCATACTGAGAGCATATACTGAGGGAAAATTATAATTGAGGATGAATAAAGGAAAAATTTACACCAAAAGAGACACATTCAATGTACATATCATCTGAAGGAATCTGCAAAATTTATTCTTAGTAAAAGAGGATATAACAACCTTAACAAAACCAGTTTCTGATCACTTATTTTCCTTTATTATTTGATTATTTGAAGTCAACCTATACAAAGTCTAAATAGATCAGTAAGAGCAAAGCCAATTTTATATCAATCATATCATACTTGGGAGTTTAAAAAAAAGACTTACAATTGGTTATATCAATGACAGCCTAACAGAATTCTTTAATCAAATTTCAAGCTGTATCTTATGAGCTTTAATCATATTTACCTTAGACAAATGATACAAACTAAATAATCAAATCAGACCTGTTTTAAATATAAATGTGTTACTTCTTTAACAATTTAGAGATCTTTAATTCAGCTTTAAAAAAAATGAAGATATACAGTGTATATTAAAAAAATCCCAAGAAGCAGTGAATGTCAAGTCATACAAGAGCAGCAAATGAGTATGCAGATCTACAAGAATGTAATAAACAGCATGCACAAATGTAATCATACAATTATCTACATCAGCATATAATGTGCATCACTCATGTACAAAAAAAATAAATAAATAAATAAACAATAATATAAATAATATACAAAAAAAAAATAAATGAAAATTATAAATGGCAAAACTTATGTCATAATGCAAGATAATTACCTGGCATAAGCACACATACCTTTTGATCCCTCTCGGTCACAGCCAAGAGGTTCGCTTCCTGCTCTGTTCGTAGCTTGCAATTATCGTTCTCCAGACTTGATATTTGTTCCTCTAACTCTGTCTTCTTCCTCACCATCTTGGGGAAAATGATAATTTCATTACTTAATCTGTCTATATATTCTGTTCATTTTTCCCTCAATTTGTTTGTTGTCTTATGTCTGATCCCCATCTTTCATCAGCTCGCTTTGAAATTTTCTGATCACAGTTACGTGTAAATTGGATCAGCAGATTTTCCAAGTGTCTCTCATTACCTTTTACTTCTGTTTTTAATATGAAAAGAATGGAAAGAATTATACCAAAAGACCAACCTCGTTTTTCTCTTTGACTAGATTATCCAACTCTGTTCTCATGTCAGCAAGGGCCTTCTCCATGCTTCCCTGCTTGTCAGCTGATTCACTGGTCATGGCCTTCACTTGATTCTCCAAACTCTTCTGTGTCTCCTGAAGTGATTTAAAGTTGGAATATTGGTAAATAGCAACCATGAAGTTATCATTTTGTTTATACTTTAGGGAGGTTTGTGCGTGCAGCTGTTTTTAATCATGTAAAAAAGATTTACAGCGTGGATTTGTTTGTGTTCACATACATATGTGAGTATGCAGTCGTGTGAATTAGAAATGCAGGAAAAGACTAGGAAAGAGAAAGAAAGAGGAAAAAAAAAAAAAAAAAAAACCTAACCTACCAGTGTTTTGACCTGTTCTTCATAATTAAGAAGTTGCTGTGAGTGCTGTTCCTTTAATTCTGACAACTGTTTCTCCACGGTTTCAGTCTGGGAGAGCTTGCCTTCCTGCTCGCTTCTAAGGGACTTTTCTGCTTTCTCGAGCCTCTCCTGGATGGAAGAAGAGTGTGAGAGGAGCCAGAGAAGATTGGTATACTGAACAACGCATTTCAATCAAAAAGGAATACAGGGCCACAGAAAACCAATAAAGCAGAACATTTAACTCCAATCAAAATCAAGTCTAAAATGATGACCAATACTGAACTGAAATGTGAAGTACTGAACAGGAAAAACCATAGACAGTGCTAACCTTGAAAATCGATAGTTCTTTTTCCGTATCCTGGAGCTTGGTTGTGACATTCTTGAGCTGGACTGACGTATCTGAAGCTGAACTGCTTGCCTGCTTGAGTTCTTCCTCGGCTTTGGTCTTCTCCATCTCAACATTCTTGATCTGTATGTGACATGACCCTCTATGAATTAAGTACATCTAAGTGCTCCAACTTCAATTATCATTAATAGGAAAGAAAGAAAGATAGAAACAATCTTAACATTACAGCTCACAAATACACTTCCTAGAATACTTTCTATTGTACTAATATGACCTCTTCATCTTTTCCATACAAAGAACAATATCAGCTTCTTACTTCTCAAAAAATAATAGCTATAAGCAATAGCTATAGAACTGGCCCAATGAATGAACATTACTTACTTTGTTATTCGCCTCCTGAAGTTGACTAGTGGCAACTACGAGTTCTTCCTTCACCTTGTCAAGCTCGAGTAGAAGACTTGAAGTCTCACTCGAACCAGAACTGAGCTGTGTTTTGAGACCTGGAAGTTTAGAGAAAAAGAATTGCTAATATATAGTCATTCTTCTTCCTTTTTTTTATTTTTTTTTTTTTTTTTTTTTTTTTTTTTTTTTTTTTTTTTTTTTTTTTTTTTTTTTTTTTTTTTTTTTTTTTTTTTTTTTTTTTTTTTTTTTTTTTTTTTTTTTTTTTTTTTTTTTTTTTTTTTTTTTTTTTTTTTTTTTTTTTTTTTTTTTTTTTTTTTTTTTTTTTTTTTTTTTTTTTTTTTTTTTTTTTTTTTTTTTTTTTTTTTTTTTTTTTTTTTTTTTTTTTTTTTTTTTTTTTTTTTTTTTTTTTTTTTTTTTTTTTTTTTTTTTTTTTTTTTTTTTTTTTTTTTTTTTTTTTTTTTTTTTTTTTTTTTTTTTTTTTTTTTTTTTTTTTTTTTTTTTTTTTTTTTTTTTTTTTTTTTTTTTTTTTTTTTTTTTTTTTTTTTTTTTTTTTTTTTTTTTTTTTTTTTTTTTTTTTTTTTTTTTTTTTTTTTTTTTTTTTTTTTTTTTTTTTTTTTTTTTTTTTTTTTTTTTTTTTTTTTTTTTTTTTTTTTTTTTTTTTTTTTTTTTTTTTTTTTTTTTTTTTTTTTTTTTTTTTTTTTTTTTTTTTTTTTTTTTTTTTTTTTTTTTTTTTTTTTTTTTTTTTTTTTTTTTTTTTTTTTTTTTTTTTTTTTTTTTTTTTTTTTTTTTTTTTTTTTTTTTTTTTTTTTTTTTTTTTTTTTTTTTTTTTTTTTTTTTTTTTTTTTTTTTTTTTTTTTTTTTTTTTTTTTTTTTTTTTTTTTTTTTTTTTTTTTTTTTTTTTTTTTTTTTTTTTTTTTTTTTTTTTTTTTTTTTTTTTTTTTTTTTTTTTTTTTTTTTTTTTTTTTTTTTTTTTTTTTTTTTTTTTTTTTTTTTTTTTTTTTTTTTTTTTTTTTTTTTTTTTTTTTTTTTTTTTTTTTTTTTTTTTTTTTTTTTTTTTTTTTTTTTTTTTTTTTTTTTTTTTTTTTTTTTTTTTTTTTTTTTTTTTTTTTTTTTTTTTTTTTTTTTTTTTTTTTTTTTTTTTTTTTTTTTTTTTTTTTTTTTTTTTTTTTTTTTTTTTTTTTTTTTTTTTTTTTTTTTTTTTTTTTTTTTTTTTTTTTTTTTTTTTTTTTTTTTTTTTTTTTTTTTTTTTTTTTTTTTTTTTTTTTTTTTTTTTTTTTTTTTTTTTTTTTTTTTTTTTTTTTTTTTTCTTTTCTTTAACTTGAATGTAAAATCTATCATCAATCTGTAACAAAATTAATAAATATATTTTGGTATTCTCAGAAAATGAAATCAATAAAAGATTTAAAAAAAAAATAAACCTAACCTACCAGTGTTTTGACCTGTTCTTCATAATTAAGAAGTTGCTGTGAGTGCTGTTCCTTTAATTCTGACAAATGTTTCTCCACGGTTTCAGTCTGGGAGAGCTTGCCTTCCTGCTCGCTTCTAAGGGACTTTTCTGCTTTCTCGAGCCTCTCCTGGATGGAAGAAGAGTGTGAGAGGAGCCAGAGAAGATTGGTATACTGAACAACGCATTTCAATCAAAAAGGAATGCAGGGCCACAGAATACCAATAAAGCAGAACATTTAACTCCAATCAAAAGCAAGTCTAAAATGATAACCAATATTGAACTGAAATGTGAAGTACTGAACAGAAAAAACCATAGACAGAGCTAACCTTGAAAATCGATAGTTCTTTTTCCGTATCCTGGAGTTTGGTTGTGACACTCTTGAGCTGGACTGATGTATCTGAAGCTGAACTGCTTGCCTGCTTGAGTTCTTCCTCGGCTTTGGTCTTCTCCATCTCAACATTCTTGATCTGTATGTGACATGACCCTCTATGAATTAAGTACATCTAAGTGCTCCAACTTCAATTATCATTAATAGGAAAGAAAGAAAGAGAAACAATCTTAACTTTACAGCTTACAAATACACTTCCTAAAATACACTTTCTATTGTACTAATATGACCTCTTCATCTTTTCCATACAAAGAACAATATCAGCTTCCTACTTCTCAAAAAACAATAGCTATAAGCAATAGCTATAGAACTGGCCCAATGAATGAACATTACTTACTTTATTATTCGCCTCCTGAAGTTGACTAGTGGCAACTGTGAGTTCTTCCTTCACCTTGTCAAGCTCGAGTAGAAGACTTGAAGTCTCACTCGAACCAGAACTGAGCTGTGTTTTGAGACCTGGAAGTTTAGAGAAAAAGAATTGCTAATATATAGTCATTCTTCTTCCTTTTTTTATTTCAATTATATATCTAAGATGGCATACACAAATTATCAGCAGCGGGAATGAAACCAACATAAAGAGTGAAAATTTATGTATGTGAAGCTAATCTGAAAAACAGAATTACCCTCAATCTCCTTCCGTAGCACGTCCTTTTCTTGTCTCTCCTTCACGATGTCCTGCAGGACCTCCTCCACCTGTTGGGTTACATCTTCGAAGTCCTTCCCCTTCCTCTCAACCTCAAGCTGCAGCTCCCTAATCTTTGCATCCTTCTCGCCAATTTCCGTCGATCTCTCCCTCGATTTCGCGCCGTCTTCCTCCTGCTTTGATTCCAGGAGTTGGATCTTCTGTTCACGTTCACTGATGTCGTTTTTCAAGGCTTCGTTGCTTGTCTTGAGGGACTTGATCATCTCAATGTTTTCCAGCAGGACTTTATCTTGCTCCTCTTTTTCCCTTTCCATGTCCATCACCTGAAATGGAGCAGGTTGAAAATGATAGACTTTAAAAAACATTAGAAACAAGATTGAATACTGATATATGAACATAATAATTACTTGAGTACCAGTACATATGTAATCAACCCATTGGATCTGGGTGACATGACAATCACATCATGAAAAAATCCAGGTCAAGGGCAGGTGACATGAACAGGCCATCACAGGAAAATCTGGCTCTAGGCCGGGCGATGCGAACCTGCCATAGTGAGTGTTGCGGCTTAAGGCCAGGGTGATGGATTAAGACTCGCCACGAGTGCACAAACCTCTTGGGAATTTTATATTACTCATATGGTGATTTTGCACTATTCCCATTGATGTATGAGTATGGAATGATATGTCTGTGAGCAGTGACTGGAAGAGTGCCAGCTCTATGGAACACACCATTTCCATGCTTAGTATCATATTCCTGGCACTGTGAGTGGCATCGCAGGTTGTTTTGAAGAAAATTGAATATTACGTAAAAAAATTTAAAAACTGACAAAAGTAACAGTGTGTTACATGGTTTTATTTTTCTTGCACTGAGTTGTAGATTACCTAGAGATATGACTAGAGTCTGTGCAAAGAAAAAAAAACTACTAGCATCTGGATGATGCAAATCAAATGGCAAATATGGACATTGGAAAATGGCCAAAAACCTAAAAATGATTATACGTAAAAAGAGTAAATAACGAATAGGAGGCACAGAATCTTGTCACCATACTCATGTTCACATGTACCAAGCCTACAAGCAGCTACCCGGCAGAGTGAACACTTATGTAAGCCTAATGCATGGATTTTTGGTGATATGATTACTGTGATGCAGCTGGATCCAATGGGTTAATAGTTAAATCACATCTACATATGCATACAATAATTACAATCATCATCATTATAATAATAATGGTAATAACACTGACAAAAGCCCTAATAATAATAGTAATAATAAAACTAATGATAACATCACTAGCAAACCTAATACAGATCATCACGTAAAAAAAACACTGAAAAAAACACAGCAACTTTCCTACCCCATCTCCTCTGGCCCGAATAGAAAAAAGCTTTGCCACACGTACCTTAGCTTGAAGTTCTTCCACGCTAGCTCTCAGGTTAATCTCCAGTTCCTCCATTTCGAATGCCCTGTTAGCCTCTATGGTTCCTCGTTCTTTGAGTTTTTTTCTTAGTTCCTCCACCTCCTTCTTCATTTCTTTGATGTACTCTCCATCTGTTGTGCTCTGACTCTGCAATTGGAAGCAGAATGAATACCTTGTCTCTTCTAAATGCTATTCACTCTAGGGAATAAGCAGTAGCATCTCTACAATTTTCCATTCACAACCTTAAGCCCTGTCACATTTCACTAAAAAAAAAGGAAAAAGAAGGCAAGGATTCTTCTTATTTTGCATTGGAAAAATGAAATCCTACAAAGCTATATACCTCACTTTGGATACAAAGAGGAAGCTCCCCTTCATAGTAGCTTCAAATAAAATAGTTAGGTAGTAAACACCTTTTCCAACAGACTATATGAAATCTATATGTTTAATGCAAAATATAAAACCCATGATCAAAACAGAATTAGAAAAAAACAACTTTACTTATATTCAGTATCTAATTTATTTAAAAAGATTTTTTTTTATCTACTTTCTCTTCCTTATAAAACCTTTATTCAATTAATAATATAAAAACTATACTATAAACAAACATAACATATATGTCTGTTAAACATCATTCAATCAATTTTCATAAAATCAAGACAATGTCCATAGAACGCAAGCTGCTTCAACATCCATTTCTTTTCTTTTTTTTAACAAAATCATAATCATTAGAACATTGATGACAACATCACTGCCATGATATCAGGCTCATCCAGCATATATTTACAAACATCGCAAATGTTAACATCAGACTTGAAATATAACATTAAACATTCACCTGTGGCAGAACTGGCATTATCAAAATGTTATGCAAGTACAATACAAAATATCAAGCACTCAAAAAAACACTATATCAAAATCTTTGTACATTATGACAATCAAAAAGTAAATCTAGTACCACTCAGTTTTTAGATAAATGAGTGATCATAAAACTGGATAGAATTTTACATATCAAAAAATAAAAAAAAACATTCACCACTAGTCTAATAAAAAGGATTATCTCAGCCAAATTCACATTATTTAGTCTTAGCATATATGAAAAGAGCAGAGAGAAAAATAAATAAATATATAAATATTCCTAGCATTACTACCAAATCAGATGGTGGTTAATAACATTAATGACATCAATAATCAATACTTTGTATCTCAGAAGCCAAACATCTCACTAAATCACATAGAACTATTCTCATTCTAGGCAACCATGGATCAGGCAACTTAAAAGATACCGACTAATTGGGAAATGTCAAAGCACGACATATAACAGCGTGGAAAACATAAATCATAAATTTGCTACCCAATAAGGTCAACCTAATTCATTCACAATAAATAAATGAATGATTCTCAACAGGCAAGAATCAAGAGCAAAGAGAATAAAATCAGGAGAGAGAAAGAGCTTTCTATCTACCAAATCATTGGCAGCAGAAACTAACAACGACCAACTTACTGCTTTCAGGCGTTCCAATTTCTGTAAGGAAAACCAGTGGTGCAAATACAGTGTATCAGTTAACAAAACAAAATTCAATGAAGATTGTACAAGTGCATAAAGAAAAAAGAAGAAAAAAGAAATATTGTTTCAGTGTACTAAACTGCAGATTAAAGTCAACTGAGGTAATGGCAATCAACTGCCTTCCACTTTTCTACTGATGCAGACTAACACATTCTCTCCACACAGGACTTCAATGTGTGTTGAAAGTAACAAACCATAGTTACTTTACTCTCTTATGGCTAGGCCAATAAAAAAAGAAAATCTGATATTTACAGCACATTTAAAACACTATTCCATCAAAAGAATAAATCTGAGTCTAAAACCCATGGTGAAAATAGGATCTCTCAAGTTATATCTATAAATAAAAGCTCTATTCTTCAGTTATTTCTATTTCAACAAAAAAAGAGAGAGAAAAAGAAAGACAGCACCAAATAGAAAATACATATTTTTCTATGGCTTTTTTTTATATAGAATTACGTACATTATGTTCAACTTTTCACCTTAAAAACCCATGCATTTTTAAGACATGCTTATAAGTGAAACAAAGAAAACTAAAAACAATATAAAATGAGAACTATTTCTCATTTTCCTACAAAGGGAAAAGATATTGAATAATAGAGAAATAGTGAGCATCATTGATACAGAAAGACAGATATGCATATACATACACATGAACACTTGCACACAAGCACATACGCATGCAAACACACACATACGCACTTGCACACAACACACACACCTATACACACCCATACATAAAAATACACACATAGAAACATGCACACACATACAAACACGCACACACACAAACACACACATAGAAACACGCACACATACACAAACACACACACATGCATACACATACATACATACACACACACACACACACACACACACACACACACACACACACACACACACACACACACACACACACACACACACACACACACACACACACACACACACGTGCATACACACACAAACACAAACAAACACAAACACACACAAACACAAACACAAACACACACACACACGCACACGCGCACGCACACGCGCACGCGCACACGCACACGCACACACACACACACATCTCATTTATCAAGAAAGGTGGAAGAAAAGAAAAGAAAAGATAAGAAAAGAAAAGAAAAGAAAAGAAGAAAGAAAGCAAGAAAAGAAAAAGAAAAAGAAAGAAAGAAAAAAAAGAGTTGAAATACAGAACACACCACCAAAATGAAGAAAAGGGGAAAAAAAACACAAGAGAACCCTAAACAACGCACTTCCCACACACACACACCCTCGAGCAAAATCTATCTCCAACCCTCTCAGACAAAACCCTCACCTCGAGATCGGCCTTGGTGATGGACTCCTCCTCCAGACGGAAGGCCAGGTCATCTACCTCCCTCTGCTTGTCCTCCAGTTTGGTGAGGATGTCCTCCCGCTCCTTCTCCAGCAGGCGCACTCGTTCCCCTAGGTCGTGCAGGCGCTCCTCCGACTCCACTTGTAGCTTTGATGATGAATGGGGAAAGAGAAAATTATTAAATGGGAAATGAGAAAAAATGATGAAATGGGGAAAGAAAAAATGATGAAATGGGGGAAGAATAAATGATGAAATGGGAAAAGAGAAAATGATGAAATGGGAAAAGAGAAAATATTATGAAATGGGGAAAGAAAAAATGATGAAATGGGGGAAGAATAAATGATGAAATGGGAAAAGAAACGATGATCATGGGATAGAAGTGTGGTGTGGAAGCACGGGTTCGTGGCGGGCACTGTGATTTTGTGGATGTCTGATACAACGAAAGAAAATGTGCAAGTAAATAACAAAACCTAAAATGGGTATTAATCATTGTATTTTGGTATTAGAACAATGGCAGAAGACAATAAAAAACAATAAGTAAAAACCTCACCTGATCAAGTTGCATCCGCATGTCCTGAGCTGCCCTGGTGGCCTCATCTGCCTGGGCAGCCATCCGCGCTACCTCTGCCCTCTCCAGGTCACGCTCTCTCATCAGCTGATCAACATGTTGGGTTTTTTCTGCGAGTGCTTCCTGTTAATTGCATTATACTGTAAATATTTCTATTCTAATTCAATTTTTTGTGGTTTTTCTTTCATATACCGAAGAAGAAAATCTTAAATACTGAGGTATGGAAATTATTGTCCTTGGCATGTACTTACTCCAGGAGATGTGCAAGGGTTTCTTTCCAATACTTTTCAGTCCCTCAAGATATTCGTTTTAGAAAAAGTATTTGTATAATTATAGTCATATATAAAGCAAATGTTTACAAAGAGTTCCCCCAATAGTTTTATGTTTTACCAGCATAATAGCTACTGTAATCATTATATCTTCATCAATCTTTTCCAGTCCTCAAACTTAGCGAGGAAGAAATATAAAATAAAATTTCTAAAAAAATAACAATACAAAAAATGAAGACAACTGATCTTTGGCATATATGCATAAAATAAAACTCTCTATATACAATGTTACTTCTTGAATACACAGAAAAAAAATTATCACTGCTAGCTGCATTCTCCAACTTGACTGACAAAACTACCAGACACGTTCACATAACTAACTACAAAATGAATAGGAAAAAGATGGTACTCTTACCTTTAATTGTAGACAAGTTCTCTCTAGGATAAGCTGTATCAACCACAAACAAGGATAATACTATACACATCCCATTTTTGTCATATTCAGTACATTTGGCATGCTATCTTTGTACATGACTCTACTAGCATAGCTGATTAGAGTACATCTGGCAATACATCTATATAAATTTAATCCTCTAAAAGTATAATATAATAGAACATATAAGATTCCACAGAAATGCATCAAAATGGACCCATGAACTGAAGAGAAATATTCAGAACTTGAAGGAGGTAACAATTACAAAGGTTCTATCTTCTGTTATGAATAAGATAAGTCTAAAAATTCTGCCTCCCCATGACTATGATGTGGGTGAATAACAGAACAATATATCAAACTAACTTTCCTAATAACATAAAGTCACAGTATCACATACCGTCACCCAATTGTGTACATTGATCCATCTACTGAATAATCAATAATTAAAAACTATATGTTGTATAACAGTCTTACTATAACCTAAGTCATGATTTTATGTGTATAAATACTTATGGTATATATATATAAATACATAAATATATATATATATACCAATGTATATATATATATATATATATATATATATATATATATATATATATATATATATATATATATATATATACATATACACATATATATATTATATACATGTATTTATATATGTGTGTGTATGTGTATGTGTATGTGTATGTGTATGTGTATGTGTATGTGCATGTGTATGTGTATGTGTATGTGTATGTGTATGTGTATGTGTATGTGTATGTGTATGTGTATGTGTATGTGTATGTGTATGTGTATGTGTATGTGTATGTGTATGTGTATGTGTATGTGTATGTGTATGTGTATGTGTATGTGTATGTGTATGTGTATGTGTATGTGTATGTGTATGTGTATGTGTATGTGTATGTGTATGTGTATGTGTATGTGTATGTGTATGTGTATGTGTATGTGTATGTGTATGTGTATGTGTATGTGTATGTGTATGTGTATGTGTATGTGTATGTGTATGTGTATGTGTATGTGTATGTGTATGTGTATGTGTATGTGTATGTGTATGTGTATGTGTATGTGTATGTGTATGTGTATGTGTATGTGTATGTGTATGTGTATGTGTATGTGTATGTGTATGTGTATGTGTATGTGTATGTGTATGTGTATGTGTATGTTGTGTGTATGTGTATGTGTATGTGTATGTGTATGTGTATGTGTATGTGCATGTGCATGTGTATGTGCGTGTGCTTGTGCATGTGCATGTGTGTGTGCGCGTGCGCGCGTGTGGGTGTGATATAATATATACATATATGTGTATATATATGTATATGTATATAAAAATATGTATGTATATGCATATATATGTATATATAAATATATATATATATATATATATATATATATATATATATATATATATATATAAATATATATATATATATATATATATACATATACATATACATATACATATACATATACATATACATATACATATACACACCTATGTACTTATATAACGTTAAAGGATAAAGAATGCTCTGTTCTGAAAGTTGATATTATTGGTTAAACGTGCCTGTTTGACTCTAAAACTCAGCAAAAGACTATTACCGAGGTACAACTAAATCTACTCTGACATAACAAAAGGAAAAAGTACTGATGGTCAAACAAGGTCTTACCAAGAACACAAAGTATCAACAATAAGAGAAATTATCCCGTTCCGACATTCTGACGAGAGCAAGGCAACAATTTAATTCTGTCTTTACTTCCATTTCATCACAATCTCTCACTTGCTCCTGCATAGTAAGGCATTATCTAACGACATTTGATTATCTGTAATCCTGTCATAGAATGATAAAATAAGGCATGGAAAAAGTACCACTCCAACTACTTTTCCCTTTACAAATAAACCAAACTTTACTTTAAATTTCCAATCATCATGCAGGAGGCAATCTTAACAGCAGCACTACATAAAGACAAACCAAGGTAAGATAAGAAAAACCTATCGACCCCAATTCAAACCAAATTTACCGTAAAATTAAAATTCAACTCTTGTGTGCCCTCTAC